TGAGGAGGTCGAACGCGCTGACATTGCAGCCCGACGAAGCCGGATGTTCCCAAGTCGCTCACCATCGATGAGCTTACTGTAACAGCGAATTTTCCTTTGCGTGATTTGCGTGATGCATGCAGACTGTCAGGCGGCAAGGCACCGTCTTGTCAGGGACGGCGAGTGATGAAGCTGAAGGAGCAACATCAAGATGCTTTAGGGCCAAACAGAGCAGGCGCGCAAACCTCTTAAGTTGCCACTGCCAAAGTTGCCTTCTCCAGACATTGTCATTGCCTTTTGCCATGGTGCCAGAGATCGCCGACACTTTTGAGTCTTGGCAACTCCTTCATCGGCCTGAGTGGTTTTGCGGCTTCCCAAGAGTCGAAGGCCAAGTGCGGCGCTCCTCCGCCGGGTCGTAGCTGTCCACGCTCGGCAAGCTCAGCACGCGCATCGGGGCGTTGCGCCGCACTGTGTCCATAAATTGAAAGCACCCGCTCATGGACCCGCTCAGCTCTGTATTCACGTTTTGCGTGCTTGCCAAGCGTACCCCTCAGCACCAGGGCCATTGGACTGCAAGAGCCTGCGCTGCACCTTGACGCCACGAGCTGCGTGCAATGGTCTGCGGCGACGTTGCAAGCTCGGACACGTCTCCGCCCCACACTTATTTGCGTCCAACACGCTGACCGTGACCAACACCGAGTTTGCAGACGACCTTATTTTGACGAAGAACTGGGCGAGTTGAGCAAGGTGGATTTTCAACACAACATCAGGGCGGCCTCCAACAGCGGCCTGGAGCTGCCCAGCACAAAGAGCATTTAGAGCAAATGCATTGGGCAAAGCATTGGGGCAAAGCGAAGCGTTTAGGAGCTTGGGCGAAACATTGGCGAAACATTGGCAAAGCGTTAGACAAAGAAAAGCGTTGGGGGCAAGCACGAGAAGCCTGTCTGGCTGGTGGCAGCAAAGCAGACATGGCGCGCAGCTCTCTCTTTAGAGGGAGTTTTCCAAATGGATTCTATTTACCGGTAGGCTCCTGACACTTGTCCGTCCAGGAAACGACCTGTTCTGCAAAGCATTCGAAACTAAAATGCTGCGTGCAGGCGTGTGGCTGCAACAAAACGCAAAAAATGAAGAAAAAAAGAAATGAAAAAAAGGGGTTCCGAGAAAAAAAAAAAGGGGAAAAGGGGCTTTCTTGGCAAGATTGACCTTGCTTAAAATGCAACCGAGGCTCGTTTTGCAGCCACATTCTTCGCGTTTCCTGGACGGATGAGTGTCAGAAGCCTACCAGGTGGAATAGAATCCATTTGAGAAACTCCAAAGAGAGAAGCTGATCGCTGCGCTTGTTCTTGGTCAGCTGGTGCCTCCATCCGCCGGTAAGGTCCAGCAGTAGCTGGGTGCGCCGCAGCGGCTTCTCTACGTCCCAGCACGGCGGGCAGCTGCCGGAAGTCGCCCACCAGCAAGAAGCCAGTCCAGCCGCTGGATGCTTGCCGCGCACGTACTTCGCACCCAGTGGTCGGCCGTCTGCGCCCAGGTTTTGCACCGAGAGCTTCGTCACAATGCGCCGCGCCAGGGTTTTCCGTGCCCGGCAGCCCGGTGAGAAGGCATGCCGCGGAAGCCGCGGAAAGCTTAAGCGTCCGCCACAAGAAAACAAAGCCGCTCGAGGGCGGCACGCGCCGCCAAGCATGCACGCCGAGCGCTCCACCGGCGCAATGGACGGAGGTGTCCGACCCGCTGGAGCACTGCCTCGCGGGCAGCAGTCCGTTTTCACCTGCTTAACTACCGGCGGAAAGCGCCAGCTCGGATCCGTGCCACTGTTGTGGCCTCAAAGCCGAGAACGCAGTTGTGGATTGGCCGGAGCGCGCCGTTGTTGTGAACGGGGCGCGTGGTGATAAAGTTCAGATGTACTGCGCCGGCCCTTGCCGATGCAGAGTGTCTGCTTAGTGTCGGCGCCGCCCCGTCGAGCTTGCTGTTGCTGCTGCGCACTGCGTACGACACGTTGCCGTTGCCGTCGTGCCCAATAAGCCCGATTATCGCGTTTCCATCAGTTTCGCCATGTGCTCCTCCCCACGTGGCTGGCCGCGTCCAGGGTGAAGAGCACGTCGGACCGGGCCACGCCGCTGCAGCATGAAGTCGACCGAGACCTTTGGGTACCAGCCCGGGCCCACGTAGGGCAGCAGCGTCATCGGCGCTTAGTAGTAAGGAACATAGGCTTATAGGGACCTAATTATTTTCGTTTTTTGGCCGAAAAACCCTGCAAAACAGCCGAATTCTCCATCCTGCTGAACGTTTCCGATGTCACCGTTTGATGTCACCGCTCCGTTTTGGGTCGAAAAAGTGCTCAACACGGCCAACTTCCCGAATTCCCGAAAAGCTCGTTTTTCCTGTCAGACGGCAAGCGAGGTGCCTCAGCCTCTAGATTTGCTCGGTTTCGGCCGAAAACATGCTCCAGACGCGCACGTTGCTCTCGATTTCCGTTTTCTACCCGGAAAAGCTGGCAAGTTCCATCCCGCTGAGCTTGTCACCGCTTGTCACCGCTACGTCACCGCTCTCTTTTGGGTCGAAAAAGCGCGCAAAAACGGCCAAGTTCCCGACTTCCCAAGGACTTCGTTCTTCACAGGATTTTCCGTTTTTCGCCCAAGCACGACAGCCTGCCGAGGTCATCGCTCGTGACACGGCAACCTGCCGAACTTGTCACCGCCTCGTCACCGGGTCACGCCAACCTGCCGAACGTCTTTGTCGCCGGGTCTAACACACCAACCTGCCGAACGTCTTTGTCACCGGGTCTAACACGCCAACCTGCCGAACTTCCAGAGGGCTCGAAATCTTGCCAAGTTTGAGTCAATATTGAATCGGCTTGAAACAATATTGGTTCATTAATGGCCAAAGGTTGCCCGGTCGCAGGCGGGATTCGAGCCCCAGACCAGGGTGGTGCAGAGACTGTGCTTAACCACTGAGACAAGGGAGCTTTGTTTGCTGGAGAAAGCAGCCGGCCGAACTTGTCACCGCTTGTCACCGCTTGTCACCGCTTGTCACCGCTTGTCACCGCTTGTCACCGCTTGTCACCGGGGCGCTTTTGGGTGGAAAAAGCAGCCATTACAAGGCAGTGGAGGAAAATATCATCCACTGGTATGCCACCGAGGTCTCCCACGGTTTGTGTCACCCCGTGACACAAGCTTTCGTAATCTTCCAACGCGAGGCCGGCTTCGCGGCTTCGGTCTGAAAGCGAGGCCGGCTCCGCGGCTTCGGTCCAAAAGCGAGGCCGCAATTCTTTCCACCAACCGCTCTCTGTCCTATCTCATAACTATGCACACAACGCATAGTTGGATATAGCAAGGACCCGGGGGACTGTGAGGCGTCCTCTAAAGACCCGCCACTTGAAGGCCCGGGCCTCCTCCTTCTGCGAACCTGGACAAAATTTTCGGCGATTTGTCCCGAAAGTTTCAAGCGTCGTGCGCAGGTCAGGGGTGGTATCACGACCTGGGCCGGGAACTTGATTTGACCGACGCCATCGGGCAATTCATCGTAGCCATGCGCTACAACGAGAATGTCTTGACTCCATCGATTTTGCCCGAAAAACCATCAGGCCGTTGTGGGCGAAATTTTCGGCGATCTGTTCCGAAATGTTCGAGCGTCGTGCGCAGGTATCACGACCTGGACCAGGGAACTTGAATTGAAGGATATTTTCCCTCAATTACTTCCTGGTCCAAAGCGACAGGGGTTGCGAAATTACAAGGGCGCTACAAGTGCGTAGCGACTTTCCTCACTCCTAAGAAAACATGTTTGAAGGACCTGTCACGGGCAACATCCCGGAGGTCCTGGACAACGGAGAGGTAACTGACGGCACGCACGTCACCGCAGGGCAGCTTGCCCTGGCTCTGACGCCCTACGCGCAAGTGGCAGACCTGGCCGTGAACACGGCCTCCGGCAACAACGCAGCCGCCATCCAGTCCCTGGACGACCGAGTCACCGCAGAGCTGGCCTTGAAGCTGGACAGCAGCGCACTGGCGCCGGCAATCGCTCCTCTGGACCGGGCAGCGTGGTGTGCGGCGACGTGACGAGCTCGGGCACGGTCTCCGCCCCGCAGCTCTTCGCGTCCAACACGCTCGCCGTGACCAACACCTCCGACTTCTCGGACGATCTCTTTCTGACGAAGAACTGGGCGGGCTGGAGCAAGCTGCAGATTTCCAACAACAGCGCGGCGTCCGACAGCGGCCCGGAGCTGCGGCTGCTGGGCAACCAGAGCGCGCGGGTCTTCCTGGAGCGGGACGGCGGGGCGCACCAGTGCGAGCTCATCATGATCAACGACGAGGCGCTGGTGCAGACGAAGAGCCTCTCGACGCAGCTGTCCCTGACCACGAACCAGAGGAACCCCGGCTGCCTCGTGATCGCCGGCAACACGGGCAACGTGGTCTGCAACACGAGCTTCACCAACTTGTCGGACAGCCGGGTGAAGACGGAGATGGCCAAGGCCAACTTGGGGAAGCTCCAGCAGTTCGACTCCGTGTAGGCCAAGCAGTACAAGCGCCCCGACATGAACGAGGACCTGAGGCTGGGCTTCGCCTCGGGAGCGGCACCGAGATCACCCTTGACCACTCGCACCTCACCAGCGTGCTCTGGGGGGCGCGCAAGGGCTTCCAGGCCCGGCTGGACGAGGTGGAAGCCTGGCAGGCCCAGCAAGGGCCGATAAGAAACATGGCTGACGCCCGCAGACGAACCATCAAGGCTGTCTACGAGGATCCCCGCACCGGCTTTGGCAGCATCGCGCAGACGCTGCAGCAGGCTCAGTCCCGCGACCCCAGCATCTTCAGAGAGGAAGTGAAGGCGTTTCTGGACGGCCTCCGGGTAACCAGACCGGCGTGGTTCCAAAGAACCGCATCGAAAATGGCAAGAAAGCACATTATCACGTCGAAGATCAACCTGGAGCGCTGCGTCTACTGCCCAGGTCCATCGATTAAAAAGGCCTTGGGGTCAGAGTCGGCGGTCGCAAAAAGGCCAGACTTGCTGTAGTCTTAGGTTTCTCCCTGCCCAACCATAAACAAAGAACACTGATCCGAACACAGCCGCCCCATGCTAATCAACACATTTCGCACTGTCTTCAGGATGTCAGGCTTCTGACAGGCTGTCTAGCGTCTTCGGAATTTGCACGGCCTGTACATACACATTCTGGAACACTCTGTCTGGCCCCTGCGCCAAGGCCAATAAGCGGTTAAACTCTGCACTTTTCTTTGGGACGAATTTGCTCGGAGCTCCCGGAGCCAAAAAAGTGAGGGTGAAACTGTGTTGTCCCTTGCAATCTTCGAAAATGTCGCGCAACCTCTTCGCAAACCCCTCTGCGATGCTGTGCTTCGGAGAGAGTGTCACGGAGATGCCGTGGTTGAAGTCGAGCAGGTAGTCGATGCCTGGGTACCGTTCTGGGCTGTGCACAAGGCATTTCTCCGTGCCTCTGCGCTTTACAGCTTGGAGCCATCTGCTGTTGAAAATGTCGTTGAAATCACAATGCAGCAATTTCAAAGCAGGCACTACCAGATCTTTGCCCTTCTTGTGCTCCCACTTGCCTTCATACGGTATCATCCAGGGCTCAAGCCGCTTGTCACGCCATGATGTGGTCAGCCAAACCCCAACAAAATCTTCCAGCCAATATCTTGATTTTGGGTCACTCTCGTCCTTCCACAAATTCACAAGCTCGGCATAGTGCTCCTGTGCAAGAAGCTCTCTAGCTTTCGGGGAGCATACAGCGACAGTGCAAGAGATCCCATTTTCGGTACGGAATGTGAAGAGCCTGCTTGGCAGCTTCGTCCCAACGCTGTCCAAATCTCCACCAAAGGCGCGTCGCACTGTTGCGAAGTCCTTTGCGTCGGTCTTCTGCTGCTTCACTGCATCCTCATAAGGGCCTTCTTTGGCCAAAAGGGTGCGAAGGGTGCCTCCAACCTGCTCGAATCTATCAAGCAAAGTGCTCTCACTCACTTTCACATCCTCCAAACACGGATAGGCCACCTTCAGCTCCCCCTTTTGCCATGCCTCCACATAGACACATTGTCCACCATCTTTGATGAAGTTGGAGTAGTGTTCCCTGTCAGGGCTGCAGGCCTTCACCGTCTTGGCCGGCAGCTTCCCCGTGGTCTCCTTGCCGTAGGTATCCACTAAATACCAATTGTCGCTGTTCTGCAGGTGCTCGCAGGAACCTGGCTTCCAGTCCTCCAATGCTATGCTCTGCGCCTTCCAGTCACCGTCCTTGTTGGTGAAAATGAAGACCTTGAGGCCCTCCCGGGCCTCGTAGACAATGGCCTCGGGCGTCTTGATCCAGTCCGGGCGGTGGCCCGACACCAGGTGCCACAGGCCCAGCGCCAGGGAGCTGCTCTTGCCGATGCCGGGGGTGCCCAGCATGGCCACGCGCCTCGTGCCGTCCTTCATCAGCTCCCTGCCAGGCCTGGCGCGTCGTGTTCCGCGTCAGCAGCTTCCTCCCGCTCAGGTCGTAGGGCTCCGCGGGCAGGCACGTCTTGAGGTCGAAGACCTGCACGCCTCAGTGTGGCTTCAGCAAGAAAAGCAAAACTGGCATCCCGCCGTCCTGCCGGCCTTCGCCGAGGTCCTTGGGCTTGGCGTTGACCAGCTCCTGGATGAACGCCGTGGCATCTGGGTCATCCTGCAGCCGCGATCACACACAAGGCGCGAGCCATGACACAAGCCGTCCTGGATCCCGCTTGCCTGCGCGGCATACGACGGACAAGACAGGAAAAGATGACGCATGAGCTGCTCGAGAATCGAGCATCAACGACTGGAACAAAAAGTAAAACAGCACAATCCAGCATGGACACAAAGCTGGGGATGCACCATCCATTCGTGGGGCTCCACAGTGAGTCGCATCACGTGCGCCAACAATGCAGCCAGCTGAAGCCCAAAAACATGCGCTGTGCTGTGCCCAAACGCGATCTTGGGATTTCATGGTTCTGTGGATGCGATCACAGCAAAAATACACTGTGCACACTTTAGCAATCTCGTCCATGCTCGTGCTGTCGGAACAAAATTTCACCTTCGAATTGCATTGTGTCTGCAGAAGCAACGACCATGGCAGAAGGGTAGGTCTTGCTCTTCAAAAGGCAGGCGACTGGAACAGCAGGCTCTTCAATATTTGCGGGGTTCCCCCTCGACTGTTTGATAGCTCTGCGCTCCACTAACCACTCACACCAAATCAGGCAGATATGAACAGGTACGGAGAAAATTGAACAACAGAAAAGGATGGAATGGCAGCAAAACGGGCAAAACATCGAGCAAGAAGACTGCGAGTGAATGCAAAGCCGGGAATGGTTGAGCTCACTGCATCAAAGAGAACATTCATAGAATGCACTTGTGCCTGCAGCAGCAAGGGCCCCAATGGGTGCAAAGACATCAGAGTTTGCCCTCCCTCTCCCCGGCAGAAGGGCGGGTCTTGCTCTTTAAAAAGCAGGCTGGGGGCAAGCGCAAAATCACTCACAAAGATCAACGGCACGTCTCAATCAATGTCGACCGGCAGGAATGACCGACCTCCAACAAGGAAAGGCAACCATCCGTTCATGGGGGCTCCATACCGAGCCTGCCAACGACACGAACCGCCGCAATCTGCACAAATGCTATCTTGGGATTTCCTGGTTCTCTGGATGCGATCAGGGCAGCCCCACCAAAACCATGTGCGGGCCGCGCGGGGCAATATTTGTTTTAAATCATATCGATTATATCGAGGCTAATCAAATATACAATGAAGTATGTCTAATTAGAAAATTTCAGCAAATTTAGGTTTGTCGTTAATTTATACAGGTTTTGCGCCGACTCGTCGGTATCCCAAAATCAATAATTCATTAATATTAATTATACATTTTAGGATTTGTGTTATTAATCAAATTTTATTCCCTAAAATTTCTCCATAAATTTCAGAACCGCACGCAACGATCAGAGTCCCAGAACGCAGCCGGCCGGCGGAAGCGACCGACTCCGCCCGCCTCGGACTCCTTCGTCCGGCCGCTTGCCTTCGCCTCCTTGACCTCCTTCTTCGCCCTCTCCACCTTCCTCTCCGCCTTCTCCACCTCCTTCTTCGCCTCCTGGACCTCCTTCTTCGCCCTCTCCACCTTCCTCTCCGCCTCCTGCACCTTCCTCTCCGCCGCCTGCACCTTTTTCGCATCGCCCGATTCCTCCGCCCGAGCGAGACGCTTCACCGCCATTGCTTCCTGCTCCTGGGCTGTCGCGACCTGCGCCTGGGCCGTCTCGACCTGCGCCTGGGCCGTCTCTTGCTGCGCCAGAGCAAATTGCAGCTGCCGCCGCGCCAAGAGCAGGTCCTGCCCAGCAAGACTCACACGCCGAAGCAGCGCGCACAAACAGACGGCCTTCTCCAATGCCCTTTCGGCTGCTTTGGCGGAAAAAGAAAATGCCGCGAAATGTGGATCTCACCTTTAGGCAAAGGAAGCAAACAGCCCGGCCTCTTCCACGAACTCGGCCCGCATTCTCTGGTCCGCCGCCTCCTCGAGATCGAGCCGGTCCTGACAACCAACAAGCCCAACGTTCAAGCCCGATGCACGTGTCCCCCAGGCCTGGCCACGGTTGTCCTGGCGGCAACCGGCAAAAGATGCGAACAGGCTTCGGGTCGGAGGAGTCCTCTTGCGCAGCCCCGGTGCGCCGAGCGACTCCGGCATGCAACGGGTGCCGTTTTGCCTGAAAGAGCCAAAGTGCAATCTGCTTGCGCCTGCGGGCAACTCTGAGAACTGGGCCAATATGCTGTCCTGGCACTCAGCACGAAACAAGAACATCCAAAGGAGGGACTTCATGCTCCTTCAGCCCAGGAACTCCTCGAGCAAAGTCCTGGGCGGCGGCGACAAGGGACTCCTGAAACCCGAAAACCTTCTAAAAAAATGTGTCCCAAGACCCAGGCCGTGCTCGGCTGCACGAGCAGCGCCAATGCAATCCCGAGAAGGCAGAGGCACATACCTGGCCGCTGCCTACCGCGGGCACGGTAGCGTCACAAGCTTGCCAGCCTCGGCTTTTGGTCCTGGTCCGCATCATCGCCATGGCTATTCGAAAAGCGCTTGAGCGGCCTGCGATTCCTCAAGCACTGGCACTAGACCCATCGGGCAACCATTGCGAGCTGTTGTTGTGTCAGTGTTGATGAGTACCCTCGAGCCAAGTTTCCAGAGCAAACACAAGATTGACTGGCTTCTTTGGCAACACCAACGCACGGGTTTGGATGCTCCTCCTCCTTTTCACTCGCGGCCTGAAGGTCGGTCGGGCCAAGCCTTGCAAGGCTTCGCAGCGTCCATCCGTCAGACTGGCTGACCCACATCCTGCCGCTGCATCAAAATCCAAGCGAGATACCAAACTGGCCTGCCTGCAAAACAAGCAGCCGAAATCGGCACCGGGCCGCCAGGGGCTGAAGGCGGGGGTTTCTGGGGTCCCTGGTCCCTGGGATCACTGGAACCTCTGGGGTCCCTGGCCCTAGGGTCCCTACATTCCCTATATAGGGTCCCTAAGCTCCCTAAGGTCCCTACGATCCCTAGATTCCCTGGGGTCCCTGCACACGTGTGCATCAGACGCCTCGCCAAGGCCCCAGATTGCGCTCGTCCCTGTCAACGCACGGCGGGTTCAGGGACCTTAGGGAATTTAGGGACCTTAAAGACCTTAGGGTGCAAACCCTACCCTAAACACCTTAGGGACTCCGAGGACTTCAGGGACCCATCAAGAGATCCTTGGTGGCCCCAAGGATTTTGGGGCTTGAAGGGATCTTGGCAAGAACTTCACGCCGGGCACCACTCAGCCTGAGCATTCTCCAGCATCATAGGGTCATGCAAAAAACACAAAATGCCGAAGCCAAGACACACACATTGCACATGGGCCACAAAACCACAACATCATCTCCCAACTTCAAACACGGATGTAGAAAACACCATGTAGAGACATACCAACATAAAGGCACAAAGACATAAAGATATAAAGATATAAAGAGAAAGGTATAAAGATACAAAGATATAAAGAAGAAATACAAAGATATAAATATATGAAATTCATAAAGAGATACAAATACGTAGAGATATGAAGATATAAATGTATGAAAATAAATAGATATGAGTACACGAAGATAAATAGATGTATGGAAAGTTGTTCGAATGGAAAAACAACAGAAGCTTTGCCCTTCCGCGCGTCTTTGTGTCCCCTTGCGTGGCAAGCTGCAACCAACCGAAGCTTGAGAGATGACTTCACACTTCACAGGATCTCTTGCCCCCAAGACCCAGGGTTGCTGGGGTTCCTAAGGTCCCTGGGCCCTTAGGGTCCCTAAGGTCCTTAGGGTCTGTAAGGTTTCTGGGGTCCCTATAATCCCTGAAAACGCCGTGTGTTGACAAGGATGGATGCACTTTGGGACCATGGCCAGACGTCTTGATGGAAGGATTGTTTCATGGCACCTGCAGCGGACGCACGCGTGCCCAGGGACCCAGGGACCCCAGGGACCCCAGGGACCCAGGGACCCCAAAGAACTCGGGACCCCAGGGACGCCAGAAATTCCAGGGATTTTCGGGACGGACCGGGCCTCACTGGGTCAAAGATCAAAGGGGCTGACAGATTGGTGACAAAGATCAAATGACAATAACCTGCACGGGACCTCTTGGCCATGACAATGGAACGCGGCGAGGGCCCGGGCGGAACGTGGAGCTCGAGGCGCAAGCTCAAAAGTTCGGAGTGCCCGAGCGCCAGGAAAACAAAAAAGCGATTTTGAGGAAACCGCACTGCCTGACTTACAAAAAACCTGGCCTTGACGGGGTTGGGGCAATCGCTCTCAAGGTCAAGGGTTCACCAGGTTGGAAAGACAAGAAAAAATGCGGGCCTGGCTCAACGAGGTCACGATTTCCAAAGATACACGGGCCTGACGGCGCGGCTTGACGGGGTTGGGAAAAGCACACAAAAAAGCAACGCGAGTCGCGCAAATCCTGGCACGGGACGGGGGTGGGTGTCCGGGCCTCGCTAGGCCAAAGATCAGGGGGCCTGACAGATTGGCGAGTTGGGACCCAAACCTCAAATAAAGATCAGTTGGTTAAGGCATGTTGCACTGCTCCTATCTTGAACCCAAACCAGACCACCCAAAGGAACAAAGCAAGTCCGAAGCGGCCGCAGTTCTTTTAACCGGGATTGCTGAAAGTAGCACTGCTTCCAGGGCACGGATGCGCCTGGAGCAGGAGGTGCGTTGACCCCCCGTGAAACTTAAAGGCAAAACAACGCGTGTCCTTGCAAGTGCGTGCAGTGCGCGCAAGGCGTGGCAGGCGTAGTGGTCCTGAGACCGTGAGCGGTCCGGAGACCGGGAGGTCCGGAGACCATGAACGGAAGTGCAGAGCGTCTGCAACTTCCCTTTGCAGAGCCTTGTACAAGGCAGTGCAGGGTGGGTGGGTGGGTTTCAAATGAAACAGAACAAGTTTGGGTCAAAGCTTGGAGCAAAACGGCCACCGCGGAAGTAGATTCACAACATGCCCTAAACACAAGGGAAAAAAATAACCTAAGCGTTAAGGCATGTTGCACTGCTCCTATTTTGAACCCAAACCAGACCACCCAAAAGAACAAAGCAAGTCCGAAGCGGCCGCAGTTCCTTTAACCGGGATTGCTGAAATAGCACTGCTTCCAGGGCACGGATGCGCCTGGAGCAGGAGGTGCGTTGACCCCCCCTTCAGTGTTTCAAGCAACCCCGGTATAAGCGAGCCAGCTGGGCCGCCGGCCTCATCACCCCCCCTTCAGAGTGGGGCAAGCGTCGCATGACATTGCACTCTCTTGGTCGTGAGCATCCTGTTGCTCAGGGACCGCCCTGTTAAGGCATGTCGCACTGCTCCTAGCTTGAACCCAAACATGAAACCTCAAAAGAACAAAGCTCGTCCGAAGCGGCCGCAGTTCTTTTTACCGGGATTGCTGAAAGTTGCACTGCTTCCAGGGCACTAGTGCGCCTGGAGCAGGAGGCACATTGACCCCCCCTTCAGTGTTTCAGGCAACCCCGGTAAAAGCGAACCCGCTGGGCCGAAGGCCCTTCAGAGTGGGGTTGTACCTGGCAGGGCAGATGCTAGCGTCACCATGCACGCTGGGTTGTGAACAGCTTGGCACGCGGTGACTGCACTTTTTTCTGGTCAGAGCGGCTTGAGTAAGCGGCTGGCTGACATCGCCAGTTCTTCTGGCTGACAGGGCAACGGCGGATATTGGGTCAGAAGGCCATGTCGGATGCAGGCTAGGTCGGACGACGGAGGCTGCTGCCAAATGTTCCGGACGCCAGGGCGCATGCATCGGACACAGTTGAATGCCTCGGCCTGACATCGCTAGGCTTGCAGGGCTGAAGCGTATGCGACTTTCAGGGCGATGGCTGAACCGGGCCAACCGACCTCTGCTGAGGTCGTCCGCCCAATCATTGCACCTTCCTGGAACGTGCGTCGGCTGCAGCAGCACGTTGTGAGCGTGAGCCCAGAAGGCTGTTAATTGCACAAAAAGTTGCAACGGCCAGGAGGTCGTGAACAGTTTGTTAAGGCTTGCTTCCGTGGCGGAATTATCTGTGCTGGAAGGCATGCTAAACGAGTAATGCCCACCACCAATGTGGCTGTGGGTTGCTTGCAGCAGTGCTAACTGGGCAAGAGTTTCAAAGCATGCGATGTACCGCTGTCCTGGCTTGACAAGGCAAGGCCACACGGCTCTTATGTCTTGCATGTTCCAGGTTTCGGCGATCCACACCACTTGGGAGGATGTGATTGCCCAGCCCCCAATCCCCACCATATCATCTTCGGCACACGCGTCGGCGGCAGCCAGAGCTTGCAGCTGGCGTGGCCGCGCCAAAGGCTGGATGGGCGAGTGTCGAAAGCACGACGCCAGCCAAGTAAGGCACTGTTGGCTTGACTTGGAAAGGCTGGTGTATGGGTTGTTGGGGTCTGCGATGCGCACCTGTGTGGGCTTGCTAGTGCCAGGCACTTGCGGAATGTCACCACATGCCCTAAACACAAGGGAAAAGAAACCCTAAGCTTTTTGGTCAAAGCGGCTTGCTGTCAAGCTGCTGACTGATGCAGCCAGATATTCTGGTTGCCAGGGCGATGTCGGGTCGCAATGCATGTTGGGACGCAGTAAGGCTTGGCTACACGCTGCTGGCGGCAGCTGCCGCAATCGGACACAGCTGGATGCCTCTGCCTGATAGCGCAAGGCCTGCAGGGCTGAAGCGTGCGCGACTCTCAGGGCGATGGCTGAATCGGGCCAACCGACCTCTGCTTAGGTCGTCTGCCCAATCATTGTTCCTTCCCGGAATGTGTGTTGGCTGCAGCAACACGTTGTGCGCATGAGCCCAGTTAGCTGCACGAAGAGTTGCAACGGCCAGGAGGTCGTGAACAACTTGTTAAGGCTTGCTTCTGTTGCCGAGTTATCAGTGCCTGAAGGCATGCTGAACGAGTAGCGCCCACCACCAATATGGCTGTGGGTGGCTTGCAACAGTGCCAACTGCGCCAGAGTTTCGAAACATGCAATGCACCGCTGTCCAGGCTTGACAAGGCAAGGCCATACTGCTCGTATGTCCTGCATGTTCCAGGTTTCGGCAAACCAAACCACTTGTGATGAAGTGATTGCCCAGCCCCCTATACCTACCAAGTCGTCTTCGGCACAGGCATCCGCGGCTGCCAGTGCTTGCAGCTGGTGTGGCCGTGCCTGAACGGGCAAGTGCTGGAAGCACGAGGCCAGCCACGTAAGGCATTGCTGGCTTGACTTGGAAAGGCCAGTATAGGGGTTATGATA